CTTTCACTGCTATGGCACTTCCCTTTTATAATACCTTTTATAATACCCTCTTTGAGAGTCACCCGGTACCGACTTTACCGTCCTTTAGATGCCAGGTCAGAACATTTCTCTTCGCTCAAGATGAAAACCAAAGGATTCCACCTTTTTAAGTGGTTCACCTCTAGCCGGGGCCGCTCCACAGATATAGTTTTAAGCTAACAAATGTTGTTTTGTTTAATGGCTTGTTTTAATATTGATACTTTTTTGTAGTCGTTTTTCATTAACGCATTGCGTTTGTACTACTGGGAGCTGCCTTCAGCAGGTCTCTGGAGAAGCGGCAGAAACGTTTTCTAAATAAATACACGGTAAAATTAGAAGGGTTTCTCCTAGCCTGGGCGTCCTCCACGTCATGCTAGCTTTCTGCATGCGGGGGAATTTTGAAGGATGAAGCAACTCGGCTCGGACAGAGGTCTACCTAGTGACGAATCCTTCCAGTCCGGAAAATGTGTAGAGAATCCTGTGTAAGCTAGTACCTAAGAGACAGGGCAGCAAATGGTGATGATTCAAACCTCGCCTCTGCTTGAACTCACCCTGGTCTTGGAGAGGCTGTTCTTTCTCAACTGCAATTTACCTTTTTTTTTTTTGAAAACCACCAAACTTGGGCAGATCTATTTGCTTATATCCATGAGAGTTTGGCCCAGAGAAATGAGAATGTGCTAGAGGAGAAAATCCCAGTATAATGCAACACACCTAAATCTTGGCATGCCAGAGGATGTAGTCATGGGAAGAAGAGGAGGAGGAGGAGGAGGAGAAAAAGAATAAGAAAAAGAGGAGGAGAAAGGAGGAGGAGACTGGTTTTATACCCCGCCCTTCACTACCCAAAGGAGTCTCAGAGGGGCTTGCCATCTCCTTTCCCTTCCTCGCCACACAACAGAAACCCTGTGAGGTAGGTGGGGCTGAGAGAGCTCTTTTGAGGACTGCTCTTGAGAGAACAGCTCTGAGAGAACTTGTGACTGACCCAAGGTCACACCAGCAGCTGCATGTGGAGGAGTGGGGAATCAAACCCAGTTCTCCCAGATTTGAGTCTGCACCCCTAACCACTAGATGGACCCTCACAGCCAGGACTCCCAGCCGCCCACCGGTAAAGACCCTCACTTCCCAGTTTGTAGGGTTTTTATGCTTTAAACTTAACATTTCACTTGATATTTTTCCCCCTCCAATATTTGGTTATTGACTGCCACCCCGTGGCAAAGCCGGAGCTTTGCATAACAGACGCAAACTACCAGTTTCCCCACACACACACACACAATGCAGTCTCTTGGGTATTGGTTGCTTGCAGGTAAAATCTCAGGTTGCCTAACGAATCTCTCTTTTAAAGCCTTCTCAAGAATCATGGAGAAATGTGCCCTGCATACCCAGTTTGCAGATCGAACTTTTCCCGATGTATCCATTGCAATTTGATGGGTGACCCAATGTAGATTTGGAAGGAAGAAACGGCTCATGGAGTTTTCTGTCTCAGCCAGAACTATGTAATATTACTCAACTTTGCTTCCATTGCCTCTTTTTCTGATACCGTCTAAATCAATCTCAAGTGTTGTTCCATTCTAAGAACTATCACATTCTTCCATTTTGGTGTAGTGGTTAAGTATGTGGACTCTAATCTGGGAGAACTGGGTTTGATTCCCCGCTCCTCCACTTGCAGATGTTGGATGACCTTGGGCAAGCCATAGTTCTGTCAAGAGCTGTCCTTGAAAGGGCAGTTCTTGAAAGAGCTCTGTCAGCCCCACCTTCCTCACAGGGTGTCTGTTGTGGGGAGGGCAAGGGAAAGGAGTTTGTAAGCCGCTCTGAGACTCTGAGTGAAGGGGGGGGTATAAATCCAATCTCTTCTCCTCCTCTTCTTGGGGTTTTAGGAGAGTTGGATTTGGGGTCTGAAAGACATCTGATCGACTCCATGCGTTTCTATTTTCCATTGGAGGCCCTCCGTTTTCTCCTTCCCAGATGGCTGAAAGTGTACCTGATACCAGCTCCACCCAATCTATTTAAGTCTCCACAGGATGAAGACAAAGAAGTCTCAAGATCAGAACCTGAATCCCTCACCCCTGGTTTTTTTGAAATCATCCAGCCTGAAGAAGAAGCCGGGAGAATTCAAAAGACATCTATGTTGTTTTGAGGCAAAACAAAGTTTTGAATCCAGGGGCACCTTTAAGACCAACAAAGTTTTATTCAAGGTATGAGTTTTCGTGTGCAAGCACACTTCTTCAGATACAGCCCCTCTGAGACTCCTTCAGGTAGTGAAGGGCGGGGTATAAATCCAATCTCTTCTTCTTCTAAAAGCGGGAGATCCCCAGGCCCCACCTGGAAGCTGGCAACCCTAGTCTGGAGCAGCAGAACAAAGTTTGAGTCCAGTGGCACTTCGTTGGTCTTAAAGGTGCCGCTGGACTCAACCTTTGTTCGGAGCTTTTTAACATTCCGCTCGTACAAATGGCTCAGCCCTAATTTCTGCTTGTCATTAGTATAAATATCCATGCCCCTACTTTCCCAGTTTGGATTACTACAGGTCGGGGTGGATCCTACCCCTACCGTATCGCTCCACGGACCAAAGTGTATTTATTGCAAAATCCACACCCAAGTTTATTTATTTATTTTGAAAGGAATTTTATTAATTCTACTAATAATACAATAGGTTATAAGCATCGCAACTGCTCTATGAGTACATAAACCAAAACACAGGAACACACTTCTGTTGCTGTTATTATGCGTAAGTATTCTAAACTCTTAAATTACAATATTCCTAACGCTAATAAAACGTTACAGAACGCAGCTCTATTCATTTCCCGTATTTCCTGCTTCCCTATGTTAGACAGCATCCTCACCAATTTGGCTCAAAACCCGCAATGGGTTAATTTAAAATACACTTTACCTTCAAACGCTAAGTCTTGCAAACCAGCAATCTATAGATTCCTAACTAAAATAAAACTCTAAATCAACTTAAAAAGGTAAAGGTTTCCTTGCTCGAGTCTGACTCTAGGGTTGCGATGCTCATCTCCATTTCAAAGCCAAAGAGCCAGCGCTTTCCGAAGACGTTTCTGTGGTCATGTGGCCAGCATGACTAAACACCAAGGCGCACGGAACGCTGTTACCTTCCCATCGAAGTGGTACCTATTTATCTACTTGCAATTTCTTGCTTTCGAACTGCTAGGTTGGCAGGAACTAGAGACGGGAGCTCACTCCATCATGCGGCAACTCAGGTCTCGAACTGCTGAACTCCCGACCTTCCACAGCCTGCAGTTCAGCGTCTTAACCACTTGAGCCACCGCAGGTCAACTTACCCATATACTAAAATGTTAAAATGTAATATCTTTTGAGTTTTCCCAGGCAAATGTATCTATATCCATCTTATCTAAAGCTGGATACCATTTGTCTAATGGATTCAAAAAGTCTCGTTCATACACTATTCACACACACAGAAAAAAATTTCTAGCATGAGAAAAAATCCCATATCTTATGCAACCACTGGGATATAGTAGGAGGGGTACTAGTTTTCCACTTCTGAAGTTTATTTATTTAATCGATTTATAGACCGCCCTCCCCTATGCTTAGAGGGCTCAGGGCGTTGTGAATAACATCCCAACAATACATTTCAGTAAAGACTACACAATCGAATAAAACAGTCAGAACAGGAAACAAGTCAAGAACTGTCCAGATGGCGTCTAAAGACCGGTTTCCATCCTTCCTCTATGAGGGAGAGGCGACAGATGGGGCGGGGGGGGGGGGGGGGCAGGTCTTGACGACAAGCTTTCCTCCCACTGAAGTTGGAGGCGTCAGAAGAATGTTGTTGTCTTTTACCATGGTTTTTAATTCTTTGTACATTGCATGCTGGTTATCCTGTCTTGTGGAAGCCGCCCGGAGCCCGCTATGTGGGGAGGGCTGGATATAAAGCCAATAAAATAAGTAAGTAAAATAAATAAAACCCACATCTCTTTACTGCTGCTGCGAAAGGCAATTTTTTTAAAAAAAAGTAAGTAAATACATAGGTTTTAAAAACCTATGGTATGATAAGATTTGGATGCAATTTATTATGGGGAAAATAGCAAATGGTGCATCTAATCACCCCAACGAGGACTATCAAACACCATTTGTCTGTAAGTGGTTTCCAATAATTCACTTTCTGTCAGAAAAAGAGGTGGTCCCATCCTTTGTTAAAGATCAACACTGGCTGTTTCTGAATGCACAGCAGCTAATATTGCTACTAACCTGGCTATACTGCCTCCCTTGTGATACACTCTTTGTTAATTGGTGTTCGTTGTCTCCGTGTGTCTGTATGCATTGAGGTTACTTAAATGACTTACCTGTCAAAAACACGGAAAGACTAGTCCTGGTGCAAATTAATGCCCTCTATGTTATTTGACTATCGAGTGGTGTTTGTTGTAACAATTGTTTTCCCCCCCCCCATCATTGCTATATTCTGGTTTGCATATTGTCAAATATAGTATAAAAATTTATTATTAAAAACAACAACAACCCTACTGCACGAAAGCTTTTAACAAAAATGCCATGCGCTTGGGAGAAGGGTCGGATCCGGTTCTTTGCATGCCATGGGAAGCAGTAAGGCAGTTTAATGGGGACTACCTCGCGAGTAAACCACGCTCAGACTTTTATTTCTCTTATTATGCAGCAGCTGCTGCTGCTGCTACAGCAGCGGCGACAACAACAGTTTCAAATAAACAGCAATAATAAAGCATCACCAACAACCACCCCCCCCCCCACACCGTTTGCAAAGCGCGCTACAAATCCTCCTCCCCTCTCCCAGCGCCTGAGTCTCCCCCGCGCATGCGCTTCGGCTCCCAGCCGGCCCGGCCTCGCCCGCCCTCCACCGCGCACGCGCGAGTAGCGGTTTTTTTCTCGCTCGCCTCCCGCCCTTCCTTCCTTCATCAGGAGGGGGGGAAGGAAAAGGGGGTCGCGTTCGGCGGCGCGTTATGACGTCACGGTTTCCGCTTTCGTGACGTTCGCTTCCGGGGCACTGTCAGGAAGGGGGTCGTTGAGGCCGGTTGAGAGGCAGGGGTGGGGGGAGAAGGGGGGCAAGTTGAAGGGCCCCCCCCAAACCACCCGGGGAGAGGTGAGTATTATGGGCTGGGGGCGGCCGTGCATGCTCAGGAAACGGGGCTGCTAGTCTGGCCCCTCTTCTCAGGTTTGCCTTATGCTGATGTCGTTTTAGTGCGATGTCTTTATTGCGTTTTTATTATCTTTATTGCACTCTGTTATCTTTGGCGAGGCGCCCTTTTGAGAGAGAAAAAAGGCTTCAGTGCAGCAGTCTCTCTTTTTATGATTGCTATATTGACGTGACCTTTTTAAAAAAAATCATTTTGCCTTTTGCAGCAGCGGTAAAGAGGAGGGGCTCTTTGAATAAAGTTTATTGGTAATGCTTTTAAAAGAGAGAGAGGTGGTGGGGGGTTCGGGCTCTCCCAAAGCGACTCTGCCGAAAATAATTTTTAAGAGATGGTCGGTGAAGCAGTTCCAAGAGTCCTCGTCGGGATTTTGTTTTGAAGCTACCTTTTTTTAATTAAAAATAAAAATACATCTGTATGTTTTGTCCTGCTGGTCCATGAGCGTAAAAAATGATTGATTTTTAAAAAATCAATTGAAATTGAGAAATGTAAATATGGTTTGTTTGTTTGTTTGGTTTACTTTGTTTAGAAGAAGAGATTGGATTTGTACCCCGCCCTTCACTACCTGAAGGAGTCTCAGAGCGGCTTACAATCTCCTTTCCCTTCCCCTCCCCACAAAAGACACCCTGTGAGGTAAAAGAAGAGGAAGAGATTGGATTTATACCCCACCCTTCACTATCCAAAGGAGTCTCAGAGTGGCTCACAAACTCCTTTCCCTTCCCCTCCCCACAACAGACACCCTGTGAGGTAGGTGGGGCTGGGAGAGCTCTTCTGAGGACTGCCCTTGAGAGAACCGCTGTGACAGAACTACGGCTTGCCCAAAGTCATCCAGCCAGGTGCAAGTGGAGGAGTGGGGAATCAAACCTGGTTCTCCCAGATTAGAGTTCGTGCACTTAACCACGACACCAATGTTCTCCCCAGTGGTCTCCCGAAGGGAGCTTTGACTCTCAAAAGCTCATATCCTGAAATCCTTGTTGGTGTCTAAGGTCTACTTGAATCTAGGTCTACTATTGCAGACCCACATAGCTACCCTCCTAAAATAGGAATGGAAATCCCTGAGTCTTTGTACCCCGTTACCCGATGAAGGGAGCATTGACTGTTGAAAGCTCATGCCTCCAGAATCTTGTTGGTCTCTAGGGTGCTGCTGGATTTGAATCTGGCACCAATTTGGTATAGTGGTAAGGAGCACGGACTCTAATCTGGGAGAGCCAGGTTTGACTCCCCGCTCCTCCTCCACGTGCAGCTGCTGGTGTGAGCTTGGGTCAGTCACAAGTTCGCTCAGAGCTGTTGTCTCAAAGGCAGTCCTCGAAAGAGCTTCTCTCAGCCCCACCTACCTCACGAGGTGTCTACTGTGGGGAGGGGAAGGGAAAGGAGTTTGTGAGCCGCTCTGAGGCTCCTTTGGGTAGTGAAGGGTGGGGTATAAATCCAATCTCTTCTTCTTCTACTGCAGACCAACATGGCTACCCTCTGAAAGTGGGAATAGCAATCCCTGAGTCCTTATGCCCCATTATCTAACAAAGGAAGCTTTGACTCCCGAAAACCCATACCCCCAAAATCTTGTTGGTCTCTAAAGGTGCTACTGGACTCGAATCTGAAATCTCTGAGGTGCTGTTCAGTCATTTTCCAGTGGGGCATGCCATGCCTGAGAATTTTCCAGGCAGATTGTGCTCACCTTTATTTGGGGTGTGAAGGCGGCAAGGAACTGTTTGGTTTTCCTGTCTGGGGCACCCAGGTGAGCCTTCCATGCTGTTGAATGTGTGGGTGTGGCTCGAGCCAACGAGCTTCTTGATGGCTTGCATCCTGTGTTAATTATAGGTGCATGAAGTGGAGGGGGGGGGGTTGCTTACCTTGGCACCAAAGCAGTCAAAGGAGAAACTTCCCAAGGGTAGCCATGTTGGTATACAGAAGAAGAAGAGGAGATTGGATTTATACCCCGCCCATCACTACCTGAAGGAGTCTCAGAGTGGCTTACAATTTCCTTTCCCTTCCTCTCCCCACAACAGACACCCTGTGAGCAATGTTCCCTCTAAGCTGTGGAGTCTTGTGAGCAAACGTTCTACTTTGTGAGCTACTGGCATTAAAGGTGTGAGCGAACAATTTGGCTACTGCATAAATCAGTTTGCTCCGGAGCCATCCTTCCTAAGCTAAGGCAAAAATGTGTGAGCCGGAAGCTAAAAAACTGTGAGCTAGCTCACAGTAACTCAACTTAGAGGGAACACTTCCTGTGAGGTAGGTGGGGCTGAGAGAGCTCTTTCGAGGACTGCTCTTGAGAGAACAGCTCCAAGAGAACTTGTAATTGACCCAAGGTCACACCAGCAGCTGCACGTGGAGGAGTGGGGAATCAAACCCGGTTCTCCCAGGTTACAATCCACGCTCCTAGCCACTACACCAAACTGGCTCTCAGTAGAACAGCCAAATTCAAGTCTACTAACCCTTTAGAGACCAACAAGATTTTCCAGGGTCTGAGCTTTCGAGAGCCAAAGCTCCCTTCGTCAGTTACAAGCAGGAAACATATCTGTTGAAGGGAGTTTTTGACTGGAAAATATTTTGCCTCCCCGCTTGTAGGGTGCCGATCGACAGTGGGAAAGGATGGCTTGAAAGGGTGTTCTCCCGGGATTTTGTTAGATCACAGTGACAAAACACAGGACTTGATTCAATGTAGTTCAGTTTTTCAGTTCAGTTCTTTATTTGTTACGGCATCAAGCCAGGAAATCAGTAACATCATACAAAAACAATATAAACAATTTGTTAAAATACAAATATACAAATATAAAAGCCATGGTCTAAGAGGGGTTAAATTTTCCTTTGCGGATACAGTAACAAGCTGCACAGAATTTAGCTACAAGTTTGGTGATGGTCTGGTTTATCTTCTGACAATAAATAATTGGCATAAAGTCCATCAGACCAGGCATTTCCTTTGCCAAAGGTAAGATATATTTGGCTCGAACCAACTTGTACCATGGGCACTTGAGAAGCGTATGTTCAATAGTTTCGACTTTCCCCAAATCACATTGACAAAGTCTCTGGTCGAAAGGGACTTGATCTTTTTGCAGAGTTTAGTGTCCTGGAGACGGGCTCCTCTGGGACCAAGAAAGGATTGCTGATGGGTGTTTTGCAACAGCGGATGCTGTGCACGGAAAAAGATGTATGGCTTGTGAAAACGTGGCAGCTTCTGCTTTTGAGCCGAAAGGGAAGTCTGTCTTTAAGCTTAGGAACTAGATTTGTTCTCTCTTGTCCTGCGCTTCCACTACCTGACCCTTTTAACTGGAGATGCCGCCGGGGATTGAACCTGGGACCTTCTGCATGCCAAGCAGAGGCTCTGCCACTGAGCCACAGCCCCTCTGTACAGCTCTCCAGGGTCTCAGGTGGAGGTCTTTCACACCACCCACTACCTGACCCTTTTAACTGGAGACGCCAGGGATCGAACCTGGGACCTTCTGCATGTGAAGGAGAAGACCATTGGTCCATTAAGGTCAATACTGTCCACTCAGACAGGCCGTCGCTCTCCAAGGTCACAGGCGGAGGTCTCTCACATCACCTCCTATCCGCTCCTCTTAACTTGAGATGCCGGGGATTGAACCTGGGAAGTTCTGCTAGTGGGCTGAGCCTAGGGTTGGCAACTGTAGATTGGGAAACTCCTGGAGACTTGGGTGAAGT